CTAAAAAATGATTTCTGTTTTTTTTCTTTATTGTTTATTTTTCTTCTTTTTCTTATACAACAAGTAAAATTAGGATATCATTACACATACAATTATGTTCATATGAGACTAACGATATGCATATAACAAAACAGAAACTAATCAATGGATAGCTCATAAAATTTCGTTTATATTATAGATGGAATTACGACATTGCGGTCGCCTTGTAGGTTCACTTGTTCGTCTATCTAGACAGGTAAAAATGATCTATTGATATATTTTATTATTAATTATAAGTCTTACTTTTTTTTCTTTTAAATCTAGCCTAAACTTTGTTACCCTATTCGAAATTTTTCTTCGTCATCAAGATTATTTCCAATAAATTCCTCACAACTTGTATTGAAACGTTCTTTATCATGGCAATTTTGGAATTCATCATCATCAACGAAAGCAGTTGACCCATGGCCTGCAAATGTTACTCATACTACTCCCGAATCAATTACTATTGCTCCACCAACATCATCGTTATCACCATCTCCAACATCTGCTGTATCGAATGTACCAACCATTGAGGCAGATGAATTTGGTTATATACCTGAACCACCAATGATCCCATCTGATGTACCTGTTGAATTTCTTTTGAATGCTGCTGGTGAACCAGCACTTTCAACATTAGGTCTTGGTCAATGGTATTTACCAACTGGTTGGGTACAACAAAGTCTTGATCTTATTCATGCTAATCTTGGTTTACCATGGTGGGCAACAATTATGATTGGTGAGTTAATCAGACAAAAAAAAAATCTAAATAATCTTGAAGAAATTTATTCAATAAAAATTAGGTACATTAATACTTCGTACGGCAACAATACCAATTGCTATTTATAATCAACGTAGTGCTGGACAAATGCAATTACATATGCCAAAACTACAAGAATTACAAGCAAAATTACAAGAAGCTCGTATACGAAATGATCAATTGGCTAGTAAGAAAACATTGATATAATTCATTTAAGAACAAGAAAAAAATACAATGCTTTTTTCATTGTAGTTATGAGAGCAGGTGGTGATTTAATGGAATTCATGAAATATTCTGATGTTAAACCATGGAAAGCTATGCTTGGACCATTTATGCAGGTAAAATCATTTTGCTTTTCTATATCTTAAATTTTCTATCATTGAATTTATTTAGATGCCTTTTTTTATTTCATTTTTTCTTGGTATTCGTGCTTTAGCTAATTATCCTCTTGAGAGTATGATGTTTGGAGGAATGTTATGGTTTCCTGATTTAACTGTACCTGATCCATATTATATTCTACCAGTTTTTACTGCATGTACAATGTTTCTTACTATGGAAGTATGTATTTCATATAACAATATAAATCATTAGTTTTTTTTTATTTAGCTTGGTATTGAAACGGGTATGCGTACAGCAAATTTAGGACCCATTGGTCGAAATGCTTTACGTGTAATTCCATTTCTTTCATTGATATTTACTATAAATTTTTCATCGGTAATAATATATTGTGTTTTTGTTTCTTTTTTATAATTATTATTTTAATCATAGGCATTAACACTTTATTGGGCTACTTCAAATGTTATATCATTAGCTCAATCGGTTGTATTACGTCAACCATCTATTCGACGAGCATTAAGATTACCAGCACCACCACCGAAAAGAACCGAACCAAAAATAAAAAAGAAGAAAGGTATTGCTGGATTTCGAGAAAGTAAGTTGAATAGATAAAACAAGAATTAAATATTAAATTAATCTTTATTTAGATTATCGAAATAGCAAATTATTAGCTGAAGTTGAAAAACGAAAACAATTAGGAGGTTTGATTTATTTATATAAAAAAATTTTGTTTTTCATAATTATTTCTGTTTTATTAGATGATATATTCCGTCGTGCTGGTATAAGTTCAGCTGTACCAACATATAAATATGATCCAACTAAAGTGAAGGAAAATAATCCACCACAAATACGAAAAACATCTGGATAATTAGAACATATTTGCTATTCTTTTGTTATTCTTGTTGTTTTTTTTTACACATAAACAAGTTTGATACTTTGTAGGAAAAAGAAAAGAACAGAAAACAATGACAAAAAAAATTGAACGTTTGAAGAATAAATATGAGAGTTATCTGTAAATATATATATATACATAGAACGAGAGAGAAGAAAAACGAACTGGAAGAATAAGAAAAAAGAAAGATTTTCTGAATTAGTTTGTTTTTCGTTCTTCAATATTACTATAAACGATTTAATAAATAAATAGGTAAAACAATTTGTGTAGATGACGAAGGAACAATATGTGTTGTTGTTTCATCTTCGTCATCCGAAGAAAGAACAATGTATTCTAAAAAAGTAAAAATTAGCAAATCAAAGAATAAATAATCAATACTTACGAGGTTCATTTGCTTTTGATAATGACACTAAAATTGAAAATATAAGATGATTTTTTTTTGTAAATTATAAGTAAGTGAACGTACTTGATGTTAGGACATTTTGTGAAGGTTTAATATCAAGTTCAGAACCACTGTCATTTATCTGTTCTGTTTTAATTGGATTAATATTATTTAATACATCAAGATCACTGCTTTCTTCGATTGAATCAGTATCATATGATGAAAAATGTAAGAGATTAAGACCTTCATATTCATTATCATACATAATATCACAATAATTATGATCAAATTTAATCATTTCATTATCGAGTATTTTTTGTCGTTTAATTTCAGATTCATCATTTGTTTTTTGTATAATAACTGTTCGTAATGCATTTTTATATGCTGTTGTTTCTATAATCATTTTTCGATGACAATGTTCATTTTCTTTTTCATCATCATTTCGTTTTCGTTTTCCTTTGGATTTACTAGTACTATCATTATCATTATTCGAAACCTCTTGATCAAGATATTTCACAGTTGAATTAGGATTACGTTTTTTCATACGTTCTTTAAATGTATTAATTTTATTTTCTAATTCTCCACGTAAGAAAGCACATTTGAATTGTTTTACACCATGATAATAAGCTCTAATATGATTTAATAATGTTTCAGTGATTGCACGATTAGCAAGTGCACACCTTTATTAGAATATTTTACTAATATATATATATATAAAAGAAAGAAATTACCAGTGAATTCCATCTGCACGACGAAGATGTAACATAGTAGAAAATACAGAATGCATATCAATATAAAGAACATCATGAAAATCACACAACTTTAAAAAAAATACAATAATAAAAATGGATATAAGAAAATATTTACTTGAGAACAATGATAATTTCCATCTCGAATTAGACCTGAGAAAAACAATAAAGAAAAAAATAGCGTTTTATATATTGATAAAACCTGGTAGAATAGGTCGTATATATTCAGCACTTGGTATAATAACACCTCCTTAAATTCGAATAAAAACATAGATAAATATATAAACAGAACATTTTTTTAACCTTTCGATGAATTTGAAGCAGGTAATGCTGAAATCCATAAGAAAAGTGTATCAGGTAACATCTGACGAAATGAACTCATAATATGATCAATATTTCGTTGATAGGATCTCATTGCATCAATACCATATCTATAAAAATGAAAAGATAATATAAATAATAGTATTCATAATCTAATATACTTACCGAGATATATCCCATACACAACTATTCATAATAATAATATCTGGTTTAATCGTTTGATTTTTAATATCATTAAATACAACATTTGACATATAGGATGAATAACATCGTGTTATAAAATAAAATCGAATACGAAGACGACCTCCACCAGTATATTCACGAACCTTTTTTTTTTTAAATATAATTAAATTGATTGATAAAAAAAACGAAATTTTACTTCTTCATAATCGATTCCATTCGTAAGTCCTTTTTGCATACCACCACTAACTAAACGATCACCATAAAAACGATTTTCTCCCTTGGAATAATATATATGAATCTTCAGTTTATTTAAAAATGAATTTTTTTCTTACTTTTATACGTAATTCTTCTTCGCTAATAAGATCATTCGAATTGTAAAATGTAATAAGATCTTTATATAGACCTCTCACAACTACAAATATATACGAAAATTTTTCAGAATTTTAAAAAAAGAAAATTTTTACCTGAATCACCAAGAATCAAAATATATTTATCATGAAGTAACTCTTTTACATCTTTTGAAATGAGAGTACCTACTAATGACGTCATTGCATGATGTTAAGACAATAATAATCTGAAGAAAAATACATAAATTGAGCTGCTACGTTTTTCATACATTTCAAAGTTTCATGAAAACGAGTGTAGAGTCAAATATTATCAAGAAAACAAAAACAAATAAAGATGAAACAGATCTATTTATTTTTAAAGTATGAGACTCTAGACAAGATGAATTTGTTTTTCATTTAAAAGTTTATTTATATGTTTAAATTGCATAATATATTGATCATCTGTTTTAAAATCAATAATATCATTTGGTGCTCCACTATTATTTTGTTCATTTGATAAAATAACTCCATTAACAGATTGATCAACTTGAAAAAATACAAAGTCATTTAGATTTGGTTTTGGTAATAATTGTATTAATGTAATATCATCATCATTTTGTTGTTGTTCAGATTTTAATTCTGTTAAGACACTTTTTTTTAAATGTTGCTTCATATTATTTAAATATGTATGTGCATAAACACATTCTTCAGGTGATAAAAGTTCTTCTGAATTCAATGCTGCTGATGGATATTCTTCAATTTTCGAACAACGTGTTCGTATATATGAACATAATATAAAATACAGACGATTATATTCTGTTCGATGCATTAACCAACGAAATGATGTTGTTTTATGTTCACTTGATTTTAAACGTTTTTCAATATCATCAAGTAATTCAAATGTTGCTAGAACAAGAAGATTTTCATGTTTAAGTAATATAGGAGAATATTTTTCATTTAACCATGCTTGCTGTAAACGTTGAAAAAGTTCCTGTGATGTCATATCATCATCATCTTCTTCTTCTTCGATATCATTTTGAGATAATAATAATGGATAGGAATTATTTTCATCCATATTAAAGTTAAGTCAAATGAAATATATAGTTAGTTAGTTATATATGAATATAGATACTAATACAAAGAACGCCAATCGAGATAATGTAAGTTCAAAAATAAATTTTAAGACTCGATAACTAGCGCCATCCAAATTTAAGAATTTAAAGTATAAGAAAGTTTCTTTTATTTCATCCAATAGAAAATGTGTGAGTGGTTAAAATGAATAAGTTCAATGACTATTTGCTTCTAGTGATTGGTTAATGTCAAATGTCCTTTGTTTTGCTCGTGAATGAATGTAAATGTTGGTTCCTTGAAAATCTCGAGATTATTCTTATTTGAGTAATGTAAGTCAATTGATATTTCTTTACACATCTGTTCAATTGAGAGAAAGAATTTTCGGTATTTCTTTTTTTTGAAGGTCTAACCATCGAGATATAGATTTCCACATCCAATTTTATTATTACACTCGACTAAATTCTAACACAGAGATTATATTTAAATGATAACATGCATGTATACAGAAAAGAAAATAATAATATAATTTCATTTCTCGATCGAATAATACGAGTAAAAAAAAGAGCGAGGAAATCCTATATAAATTAGATCTAATTATAATATTAGTAAATTTCTTTTGGAGACGTTATCTCTTGATAAGAAATAATCTTCATTCGTATGAATCATCATTAGATTTTACATATTTGTTTATTTTATGAGTCAGAATTTACATAGATTGTTATAGTCATAAAAAAGGATATAACATGTATCAAATAGAGTTTTCTCAGTTGGATCATCGTTTGACATCGTTTATTGACAAAATTAAACTCGTGTTCGTATTATTCGTTCGCTCTCCGTTGTGTCTCCGCCCATATATATTTCGTGTTTAACAATGGTGTTTATTTAGAGCTTAAAGATACTTTCTCTTTCTTTCTTACTCCTATCGTCTCGTATTATACAATGTGCCATCATTTAACATCTTCTTTTTGGCTATTCTAGATTGTGTGTGTCTGTATATATCTATGAAAAAGTTCAATATTTTTATGAAACAGAGACAATATAACTAAGTGTATTGTTAGCAAGTAAGTATTTACAATAATAAAAGTCAATGATGATAAAGCAGGGGTCTTGAAAACATCCGAGAATGTTGGATGTACACGGAGAATAAATGATCGTTGAAATATTCATTTATTGTATTTCGGTTAGCTTAAGGAATAGATAGAAGAATATTTTCAATTGATTATTTATGTCTCCGTGGGATAACTATTGGCCAAATTAACTGAGACTTTTATTTAATTAAATAACAAAAAACAAAATATCATTTTATATGATATTTTAATTTAGATGATTGTTAATCTAGTGATTGAAGACAATGATTGTAGAATCTTATGTATGTCCAACATTTTCAAATAATCATTGTAAACAATTAAAAACACAAGAATATTATATGGCTATGAGTAAATCAACAATAAAACAGAATGGACATTCAAGTACGAATGAAAATCGTACTGACGATGATTATGGTGGTGGTGGAAAAGATAATCATTTACAAACACCTTCGTAAGTATTGAATATTTTAACCAATCAAAAATTATATAAAGAAATTTTAGTAAAAATGGAACTGCTGATAATCGTAAATCCCGTTCGAATAGTCATCATCATAATCGAGCTAATTTTCGTGTTGACGTAAGTTAAAATCTTATTCTTATTTTTTTACTTATTATTCTATTTTATTTTATAGCCAACTCGTTGGTGGTTAGTTCATTTTATACAAAGATTTATTGTTGATCCAAAACGTACATTAACAAGAAGTCGTAGTGCAACTGATGCTACACGTTTTCTTCGCCATATTCAAGCACGCATATCCACAGCTATCAAATGTGATTCTGTCTATGAAGAATCATCCTCAAATTCAAAACGACGAAATAGTGGTTGTGATCATAATCAGATATCTGATGATGAAAATAGTATATATACTCGAAAACGTTCACAATCAGTTCCTAATCATGGTGTTTGCAAGTAAGTTATTAGTTTTTTCTCTGACAAAAATTTATTTTTATTTATTAGTCCTAATCATCAAATGTTAATGATAAAACGTCAATCACAACCAATAGTACGTTCATCCTCAGTACATGATCTTAATCGACATGAAGTATTTCGTGCAAATGAACTTGAATTTGGTCCTATTATTGGTCAAGGATTTTATGGTATTGCAAGAACTGTAAGTGAAGATAAGATATTGTTTGAAATTTTTATATAAAATTTATGATTTTTGTCAAGGTTACACTACGCAAAACTGGTCAGATAATGGTTATGAAAGAAACGAAAACGTTTGATAAAGAAGCACAAAAAATTTTCGTTAAAGAAGTAAGATAGATTGATTAGAAGTTGACCTTAAATATAAAGTTATATCTATAACGTGCTCATTAGTACTAAATCGGATATTGTTAAATTCGATTAGTCGATAAGATCATTCTTGAATCTTTTCGTATTGATTTTTAAACTCTAGGGATTTTATATCGAGTAAATAATGATTCGAAACTTTAATACTACAATAAATAATTTTTATGTATGCTAAAAATCCAAGATCATATTTTTTAGGATCTTCTTTTTTGTTAAGGTACAAGTTCTTAAGCGGTTAAATCATCCAAATGTTCTTCACTTCATCGGTTTACTTCTTGATAAAGATAATCAAATGTGTTTTCTTGTTGGTTCGTATTTATAACTGATTCTCTCAAATTATGTTCTATTATTTTAATTTTAAAGATTATATTGCTGGTGGTACATTAAAAAATATCATTCATGATTTATCAATATCTTTAACATGGTTACAACGTTTACGTTATGCTAAAGATATAGCTGCCGGAATGGTAAATAAAATTTTAATCATAATTATTATTATTAATATTTATTTTAAGGAATATCTTCATTCATGTAATATAATTCATCGTGATTTGAATAGCTCAAATTGTTTAGTTAAAATGGATGGCCATGTTGTTGTAGCTGATTTTGGTTTATCACGAATAAATCTTGAAGATGATGATGAAATGACATCACAAAATAGTGATGGTTCATCAACAAATTTTCGACGAGATCAACGAAGTACAAGTACAACATTAACATCTAATGGAAATATCGTTGTAGTTCGACCAAAAACTCGACGACAATTATTAAGAGATCGTCAACGGTAAACAAAAGAATAACTATTTCAAAAGAATCTATTAAAGATTTATTTATTTTAGATATACAGTAGTTGGCTCACCTTATTGGGTAAAATCAAAAAAAATTATTTTCAAAAATATTTATACATTCAATCTTTTATTATAGATGGCACCTGAAATGTTAAAAGGTCAATGTTATGATGAACGTGTAGATATATTTTCATTTGGAATAATGCTTTGTGAAGTAAATAAGAAATAAAATTGAATATATACTTATCTTTTTCTTTTTATGCTAGATTATTGGTCGTGTACAGGCTGATCCTGATTATTTACCTCGTACACAAGATTTTGGTTTAAATGTACATTTATTTAATCAAAAATATTGTAGTAAAGATTGTCCAAAACAGTTTATTGCTATTGCCATAGCTTGTTGTGACATAAAGCCTGATTCAAGGTAAAAAGGATAACGAATTTTTCATTGGTTTTAGTTTTTTTTTCTTTTTTAGACCGGCATTTTGTGTATCTCATCCATGGCTTGAAGCTCTTGCCTTAAGTGTTGAGACAGGCGTTTGCCTCTCTTCCTCTTCGAATACAATTTCAGATCGAATCTCGAATGGAGATTAAATTTTTTTCTATATTTCTTTAACGAACTATTTTCTGCCCGGTGTGATAATCTTTTCTTTCTTTCTTTTTTCTTTTTTTTTTGTCTTTTTCTTTTTATAATTATCTATGCCGTCCAGTGGAAGCGAAATTGATATCGGCATATATTAACTCCACATTGTCAGAGCTATGATTATTACTTCTTTTGAACTTAGATTTTTGTTCGTCATATCTTATAACTCAGAGATAAAAAATAATTCAACGTCGTATATATGTTGACTCATCCTTTTTTTATGTATATATCCTGTCTTTTGCTCGCATTCCTGAAATGTGTGTGTGTGTGTGTGTGTGTGTGTGTGTGTAATTGAGTGTATACGTGTAATCTATTCATCTATTTGTTATAGAGAAAAAGAAAAAGAAATCTCTTTTTTTTTTTCTTTTTGGATATATTATATATAAATATAACAAGAAAAGAAAAGATGTGAACAAGGACATCATTTTAAAGGATTATCGATTTTTTATTTCTTTTTTTTTATCATGCATCAAAGGTCTTGTGGATTTGGATAAAGACAAAAAGGAAAAAACAACATCACATGATTCTGCTCAGCACAGCTGGATGAAGGCTGAAAGAAAAAAGGAAAAAAAAAGGAAAGAAAAGGGTTCGAACCCTAGTCAGAAAAAAATGAGAGAAATATAGAATACGTCATTATATAATAAAAAAAAAGAAGTGGAGGCGGCCCGTCTGCTTATTCTCTTTTTTTTCTTTCTTTCTATATTACATTTTCTCTTTCGGCCTTTTTTTTTATTCTTTTCTTTCGTTCTTTCTAGAAGATATAAAAGGCGCTGCAATAGACATTAACCCCAGTACGTGATCAGTCGGTTATACTGTGTTGTGTTGTTGTTGTCGTAGCGGTGTATATGTTAAAATTATTTAACCATTGCTATAAAAAGTAATTCTTTCGTCGATTATTATTTCAAATTATAATTATAATCATGCCGTGTGTCGAAGTTCAATCAAATAATGAAAAGTAAGTTGTTTTTTCTTGTAATATTAAAAACAAGATAAATAATATTTTGTTTTTTTTCTCTTTTTAAAGTATAAATCGTTTCTGTCATCGGAACGCGGCCGCCGCAACGTGGTATTCCTGATGTTGCCAACGGTAAAATTAATAAATCTTTTTTTTTTTAAATAATTATCTACGTTTTTTTCTTCTTATTATTAATTAGCTGCTGC